TTGACTTGAATTTAGTGCAAGGTGATAGACTTGGGTCTCTTTTCATTCTTTGGCAGATGGCAAGCCAATTTTTCCAGCACAATTTATTAAAGAGGCTGTCATTCTTCCAGTGAATTTGTTTGGCCCCATTGTGAAAGATTAGGTGGCTGAGTATGTTTGTGTTTCTGTGTTTCTTCTAGTCTGTTTCACTGATCCTCTGGTCAGTTTTTTTAGCCAGTACCAGGTTGATTTTATTACAATAGCTTTGTAGTATTTCAGGTCAGGGATTGTGATTCCAGCTGACTTGTCTCTGTTACCCAGGATTGCTTTTGCTATTCTGGGTCTCTTGTGCTTCCAGATGAATTTAAGGAATATTTTCTCTAGAACTGTGAGATATGCTAATGGTAGTTTAATGGGAATTGCATTGAATCTGTACAATTTTGGTAGTATGGCTGTTTTCACAATGTTAGTTTTTCCTATCCATGAGCAAGGAATGTTTTTCCATGTATTGAAATCCTGTTCAATGTCTTTTTTCAGAGTACTGTAATTTTCATTGAATAGATCTTTTACTTCTTTTGTTGGATTGATTCCTAAATATTTCAGTTTTTTGGATGCTATTGTGAAAGGTATGATTTCCTTAATTTCTTTCTCAGTGTGGTTGTTGTTTGTGTATAGGAATCAATAGATTTTTTGGTTGTTGACTTTGTATCCAGCCACACTGCTGAATTTGTTAATTAATTCAAGGAGTCTTCTTGTGGAGTTATTGGGGTCTTCCATGTGAAGTATCATGTTATCTGCAAATAGTGATAATTTTACTTCTTCCTTTCTTATCCTTATTCCTTTTATTTTCTCTCTTGTCTAATTGCTCTGGCTAATGCTTCCAGAACTATGCTGAATAGGAGTGGTGACAGCAGACATCCTTGTCTTGTTCCTGATTTTAAAGTAGAAGCTTTCAGTTTTTGTCCATTTAGAATGATGTTGGCTGTTGGTTTGTTATAGATGGCTTGATCAGATTGAGGTAAAGACCATATATTCCTATTTTCTGTAGGGTTTTTATGATGAATGCATGTCAGACTTTGCTGGAAGCTTTTTCTGCATCTATGGGGATGATCATGTGGTTTTTGTCTCTGGCTCTATTGATATGGTGTATAACATTAATTGATTTGCAAATATTGAACCATCCCTGCATTCCTAGAATGAATCCGATTGGTCGTGGTGTATGATTTTCTTGATGATTTGCTGCATTCTATTTGCTAGTATTTTACTGAGTATCTTTGCATGTATACTCAAGGGAGATTAGTCTGTAGTTCTCCTTGGTTGCATCTTTCTCTGGTTTTGGTATCAGTATAATACTTGCCTCCAGAAATGAGTTAGGGAGAATTGCTTCCTTTTCAATTTTGTTGAAGAAGCTGAGAAGAACTGGTATTAAATCTTCTCTGAATTTATTGTAAAATTCTGCTGTGAATCCATCAGGGCCTGGGCTTTTCTTTGTTGGTAAGTTTTTAATCACATTTTCAATCTCATGAATTGATATTGGATTGTTTAGGATTTTTAATATCTTCATGATTCAACTTTGGTAATTTGTACATATCTAAGAATCTGTCTGTTTCTTCTGGATTTTCTATCCTATCAGAGTAAAGATTTTCAAAGTAGGTAGTAATGATCTTTTGTATTTCTGTAGGATCAGTAGTGATTTCATCCTTTTCATTCCTTATTGCATGAATATGAGTGTTTTCCTTTCTTTTTTTGATAAGGTTGGCTAGGGGTTTATCAATTTTATTTACTCTTTCAAAGAACCAATTCTTTGACTCATTTATTTTTTTATAGGGTTTTCTTCATCTCAATTGCGTTAATTTCTGCCCTGATCTTTATAATCTCCTCCCTTCTTTGGGCCTTGGGCTTGACTTGTTCCTGTTTTTCTAAACGTTTGAGGTGTAGCATTAGGCTATTTATTTGTTCTCTTTCTGTTTTCCTTATGTGTGTATGCACTGCTATAAATTCCCCTTTGAGGACTACTTTCATTGCATCCCACCGATTCTGGTAAGTTGTATGTATATTTTCGTTTGTTTGTAGGTATGTTTTAATTTCTTCTTTAATTTCTTCTGTGACCCATTGGTTGTTTAGGAGGTTCTTATTCAGTTTCCAAATGTTTATGGAGTTTTTGGAGTTCCTTTTGTCATTAATTTCCAGTTTTATTGCATTGTGGTCAGATAATAGGCATGGGATAATTTCAATTCTTTTCCATTTACGTAGGTATGCTCTATGGGCTTGAGTGTGGCCGATTTTAGAGAAAGTGCCATGTGCAACTGAGAAAAATGTGTATTATGATGTTATGGGGTGGAACACTCTGTATATGTTCTTAAGTCCATTTGTGCACAGATTTGGTTCTGATCTGTTATCTCTATGCTGATTTTTTTCCAGTTGACCTATCTCTTTATGTCAAAGGGATGTTGAGGTCCCCTATTACAATAGTGTTATTAATTATTTGGGTTTTCATGTCTGTTAAGATTCGTCTTACACAGTTTGACCCTCCAATATTTGGTGCATACATGTTTATGATCGTTATCTTTTCCTCTTGCAGTTTTCCCCCAGCAAGTATATAGTGACCTTCTTTATCTCTTTTGATTGTTGTCAGTTTGAAGTTTGCATTGCTTGCAAACATACTAGCTACACCTGCTTTTTTCTGAGTTCCTGTTGCATGGAGAATTATTTTCCATCCTTTGACTTTCAGTTTATGGATTTCCTTTTGAGTAAAATGTGTTTCCTATGTACAGTACATCATTGGGTTTTGTTTCTTAATCCACTCTGCCAGTCTGTTTCTTTTGACTGGTGAATTGAGGCCATTTACGTTTATGGATATAACTGATATGTGTTGGCTTATCCTTGTCTTGTTATTTACCTGCTGTTGGTTTCCTATTTTTTCTATCTGTTTAATTGCTTGCTCTGCTTGAGCATTCCTTTCCATTGTTGTTCTTAAAATTGTGGTCATTTTTTTCTCTGTCTAGAATGCCTTTTAGTAGTTATTGTAAGGATGTTTCAGCAGTCCTAAAATTCTTCAGTTGTTCTTTGTTGTAGAAATATTTTATTTCTCCGTTGAATTTGAATTATAGTTTGGCAGGATACATCAGTCTTGGTTGGAAGCTGTTTTGTCTCAGAACCTGTAATACTTCACTCCAAGCTCTTCTCAATTGGATGGTTTGTGTTGAGAAGTTTGCTGTGATTCTTTTTTTTTTTTATCTTTGATTTTTTTTTATTTTAAAGAGAGTAGTACATGAGGCACAAACAAAAAAATAGAACAGTAGCAGCATACCAGTATTACAAACACAAACAAATCAAAGCAAGAACATGATACAGAACATTCAAAATGATACAGGGTCTCAAGACAAATTAATACAAATCAACAGTGGTTGTTACATTAGTTTGCTGTGATTCTGATGGGCTTTCCTTTATAAGTGATCTGTTTCTTTTGTCTAGCAGGTTTTAAGATTCTGTTCTTTTGCTGGAGATCTGGGATCTTGATTATTATATGTCTGGGTGTAGTTTTATTTTGGTTATGACTAGTTAGTGTTCTATATGCCTCATTTACCTGTATATCAGATTCTGTTTCCATACTTGGGAAATTTTCTGCTATTATTTCTGCTAATGTTCCTTTTATGTCCTTTGTGTTCCCTCCTGCTGTTTGATTGACTCATATTAGTCTTACAGTATTCCTCTTTGCCTCATCTTGCAGCTGTTGAATTGATTTTTCCTGGTTCCTTGTTGATTTTAAGAGCTCCTTTCTTTCACAATCGCTAGCTGCCATGCTGTCCTCAAAATCTGAAATCCTATCTTCGGCATCATTCAAGCAGTTCTGGCAGCTTTCAGTGGAAGCTTTGATTTCCTGGATGTCTCTTTGAATCTGTTCCATGTGTTCTAGTTCATTCCTAGATTGTTCATGTAACGTTTCCATCTGTTGCCTATGTTCATCTACTTTTTTTCTGTAGTTCTTCTCTAGTTGTGCTGAGCAATTCTTTCATTATTATTGTCATTTCATTTTTTTCCTGAGAGATTATTTCTGATCTGATCTCTGCTATGGCCTGATGGAGTTGTTTCTTTACTTGCATTGCAATCATTTCAGCAATTTCAGGTGTGTGTTTACCAAGTTCTCCTATGTCGATGTCTCCTGGATTTGTTCTGAGTAGGGTGGAGTTCTGAGATTGCATTTTAGTTCTTTGTCTTGTCATGTTTGATGCTGGAGGCAGAACGCTCAGTCTCCCTCTTCCCTGGCAGCTCAGCAAAGGTTGCTAGTGACCCTAGTTTTCCTGATGATCAGGCTTGCCCCTCAGAGTCTGCTGAGATGCACTGCTTAGTCTGGGGTCTTCTGGCAGATGGTGAAGTGTACCTAGTTCTCCCAGCTCTCAGACGCAAACTGTGATGTCAGCTGATGGCAGACCATCTCATCCAGTGTCCCCTTGCATCTCAGGGCATGCGTATGACCCAGAAGCGGGCTGCACTGGTGGTGCATTCATGGACCAGTGGTCCTGTGTCGCCAGGCAGTTCAGGGCACAGGCTGAACCCAAACACGAATCACAGGGTCAGCAGTTCATGGCCCACCCAATTCTGTGTCTCCAGTCAGCTCAGGGCATGCACAGGAACCAGACGCATGCTGCACTGGCAGTGATCATGGACCACTTGTGTCTGTGACCTCCTGGAGGTCAGGGCACAAGTAAAGCGCAGAAGCAAACTGCAGTGCCCGCAGTTTGTGGACGGCCTGCTCTAGGACCTCAGGTGGGGCAGGGCACATGCAGGGAGGGCCCAGACACGAGCTCCAGTGTTAGAAGTTCATGGGCCTTCTGGGTCAGGATCTCCTGTCTGCAGTGGGCACATAGAGGGCAAAGACTCAACTACTATAAGATGTTTAGAGGGTAACTGGTAAATGTTGTATTTGAGAACCTGATGGATCCACAGCACCTTATAGTTGGAATGTCACTAAAGCATGGCTCACACCATAGAGTGATGCTTTCCCTTTTTTTGGCTGTTAGGTTTTTGAAGAGCCTTCCATCAGCCTCTTTGCTCTGGAACATTGTGAGGGAAGAGAGTTACATCTGGAGGATGCTGTAAACTCGGTTTTGAACAAGGACCTACATTTTTATACCCAGTCTGTGTGGGTGAAAAGTGGACTGTAAGTACCAGAGAAGAGCATTTCCCGATTGTTTTTTTTTTTTTTTTAATCTGATCATGTTCTTACTGTTTTTATCTTTCAGTGTAGTAACAGTAGTTTAAATAAGAGAAAACAATTCCCACCGTGGGGTAGCATGCAGAGGGCTGGGAAAAGAAGTGCTGTGACCTCATCAAAACATGTCAGAGTAGATCAGCTACATTTCCTTCAGGAGAAATTTTGTTTTTTTTTTTTTGTTTTTTTTTTTTTGTTTTTTCTCCGGTACCGGGAACCGAACTCACGACCTTGCGCTTGCCAGGCAGGCGCTTTTGCCGCTGAGCTAAATCCCCAGCCCCTTCAGGAGAAATTTTGTTAAACCAAAAATTTAAACGGTGAAGGCTTGAAAGACAGACTGTTTTGGTGTACTTTGACAGCATGTTTATTGTACAGCACTTCCCTCTGGTGTACTCATTTTCATATGGCAAGCAGCGGTTCACTTAAGCCTGCCTACCAGTGTTTGTTCATTTAGGTTATCAGAGTGGATCCAGATTGCATGGGGTCTGTACTTTTGCAGTTTGGGAAGCTGCTTTTAGGAAAAAGAATTTGAAATTATTAATACATAAATTAGTATTGACCTTACATGATTATTTATAACAAAAATGGTGAGAAATCTCCATTGGTCATGAGGCTGGAGTGTGTTTGCTTCCTCACAATCTGCCTGTCAGGCCATTTCTGAAGAGTTTGCTATATATATTTGCTTACACCCACCTCGATGCTGCTGGTGCTTTGGGATGAAAACTCAACTTGAAACACAAAACACACAGTCAGTGGTTAATATAAAAATGGCTGTTTTTATTCTCATTAATTGTGTGATAGTCAATTGTTTAAATATGTGGCAATAATCAATAAGAAAGGCACTATAAGTTAAAAAATGAATCAACTGTTAATGGCTTTTTAAATAGTCACATGTATAACAATTTAAATTTTCTTCTGCAAACCATTTCACATGGATAATATTTATTAAAATAAACTGATTTACTCTTTAAGCATAAGATTCTATTTAGTAATTAAGTGCTTTTGAAGTGAATTTTACATCCCTGTTGTTTCACAGCACTCATACATTTTCTCTACATCCTGGAGTGAAATTTAGATTTGATTTACAATTGAAAATTTCTCCTCTTAGTTTTACTCTTTTCTGAAAAACTGGTGCAATTTTAAAACTGATTACTTCTGTTTATTATCTACCTCTGACTTGTTCCTATATGAGAATTGGTAAATGGGTTCAAAGATACTGAAGTCTACCTATAAAGATTTTCCTAGGCTGTGAATGGCTTTACAGGATACCACTTAATGCATATCCAACTATCACAGTGAAAAGTTGTATTTTTTTAAAAAAAACACTTTATGTTGTATTTTTGATATATGAAGTTAATGAAAACCATGCTTAATGCACCATCCTACACAGCTTTTCCACTTGTGGAACTCTTGAAGATCATGATATGATTAAGTAAAGTTACTTAAAATCTTGCCTAGATTTTATAATGGAAACTTCTCTGTCCATTTAAATCTGTGAGGATGGATAGGTAGTTGAGCCTATCTGTGGCCATGTCTGCCTTTGCATGGATCTGATGGTTTATCTTTGTGTAGGCAGATCAAAACCCTGAATTTTTGTCAGAAAAAAATAGGTAATTTTTAAAAAACTACAGACCTAGTTGTAAAAGAATGAATGGAAAACACTGGGTACTTTTAATGAGATTTTCTGTAGTACACCTTTTTCCCTGCTTTCTTGCAGATGGATAGCTTATGAAGGATCCAATTTCTTGGGAAGACAAATCCTACTTGAGCCTAATGAGATCCCAAATTGGACAGCATTCAGTGGCTGGAAAACAATTGGTTCTCTTCGTCCCATGAAGCAGGTAAGGAACAGAGAAACAAAATCCAAAATAGCTTCATTTGTCTTGTAAAAAGGTCATAAGCCAAAGCATGTAAATACTCTCCACTTAATTTAGTTTGCCATTTATGTAGGAGTGGATAAATATGCAGAAATCATAATGGGTTTTGGCCAATTCATAAAATTGTATCTAAGTTTAACACTGGATTTTAGTCCTGGGATCAAAGTTTTATTTGCCAGGTTCACTTTTCATGGAAAGTAACACTGTAAACTCTGTGGCAAACAATGGGAACAAGACTGAACTCTGATCTCTTACTAGCTTTACTTTCTTAGTATTTTGGATTTTTTTTACATACTTATATAATACTCAAGTTTGATCCTGGCAGTTTCATTAAAATAGTATTTATTACACACCTACTGCTTGTCAATCTTCTGTTCAAAAGCTTCCCACTGCACTTAGGATTCGGTCGACGCCCTTCAGTGTGGCCTGTGTAATAAGACTCCCCCTGCTCTTCCAGCTTCTTCTCTCACCTATCTCCTCACTCGCATGGCTGTGGCACATATACCCAGGTGCAGAATGCTGTACCACTCAGGCTGGTAACAAGGCTCTGCCTTGCATAGAATGCTGTTCATCATTTTTTGCTTGGCCGGTCATTCCTTCTGAACTCAATGTGTCAGGTCCTAACAGATAGCTTCTATCCTCTCTCCCAGTCTAAATGGTATCCTGAAAGACCTGATTCTTTTTGTATGGCACATGGTATGTAGTTTATAACCACCTAAGTAACGCTGCACTGGGATTGTTCCCAGTCTGCTGAAAACGTCAAGGCAGTGGCTGTGCATACTTTGCTTACTGCTCTGTCCCTAATACTGGTCACACTATCTGGTACTTTGTAGGAACTCAGGGACTGTTTAAGGAATTAATGCTAAAATGGATAAGTGAATTAAAGCCAAATCAAAGTTGTAAAACAAAATGCAAAAGAGTATATAATCATCAAAAAGCCATAGGCAATATCTGGGTCAGAAAAGGAAAGCAACTGCCTGTGGAGGCCTGGTGGGGGCCTCATAAGAGGCAGAAAATTCAATCAGGTATTCAAGTATGATGGCTGGTGGCTGTGCCATCTAATCTCTTTAGAAGCACTTTCGCACTTGATTCTGACAAAAGTCCTTTGAATAGAAATTATTCCCATTTTCTACTTCCCAAAATAAGGTACAGTGGCTACTTGCCACACCCACAGTGTGTCTGAGGGTGCTGGGCTGAACCCCAGACATCTTCAAGAACCCTGGTGAGTCACCCCTGTATCTCCCTGACAAGCATGCGAGGCAGGTGTAACACCGGGCACTCTCTGGGGCCTCAGTAGCTACCCGCCACACCCACTGTGTGTGGGCAGCTGCTGGGCTGAACCCTGGACATCTTCAGGAACCCTGATGAGCCACTGCTGCTACTCCCTGACCAACATGCGAGACAGGTGGAGCCCCAGGCACCCTCTGGGGCCTCAGTGGCTACTTGCCACACCCATAGTGTGTCTGCAGAAGCTGGGGTGAACCCCAGACATCTTCAGGAACCCCAGTAAGCCCCAGCTGTGACTCCCTAACCAGTGTGCAAGGCAGGTAGAGCCCGGGGCACTCTCTAGGGTCTCAGTGGCCACTTACCACACCCCTGTCATGTCTATAGGTGCTGGGTTGAACCCTAGACAGCTTTAAGAACCCCAGTAAGCTGCTCCGGTGCCAACGCCACTAGTGTGCGAGGAGCATGGAGCCCCGGACAACTTCTGAGGCCTTGGTGGTCACTCCCAGAACAACCTGCACCGCCCCGCTGCCCCAGGAGCTCAGCTGAAATCTGGACAGAGTCAGCAGTCTTGGGGAGTCCAACCTCACCCCTCCCTTGCCAGTGTGGGAAGCAAGCCCCATCCTGGGCAGTATCTGAAGCCTCGGTAACCACGACCTGCATCCCCCCTACTCTTGTGGAAGCTGGGCCAAACCCCAGGCAGCTTTAGGAACTCCAGTGAGCCTACCCTTCTCTTCCCACACACACCTGGGAGCCAACTGAATGCAAGAAAGATTGGGAGCATCTGGGACCCCACCTTGCCACCACTCACCAGCACAGGAGCTGCACTGAGCACTGGGGATCTTCAGACACTCGCCTTGCCACTCACACATAATTGGGAGAGGGAGGCTGCACTCCAGGGAATCTCTGGATGTTCAAAAATGACAACCAAGGAGCAAAGTGCAATCCCAGACCTCCACACCACCCAAAATAAGTCCAGGAGACATCAACACAGAAGAGCCTGGAAGTCATACACCTGAAATTTCTCAAATGATAGCAACTGAAGTAAAGAAAAAACACCATCAGGCCACAGAAGACATCATATCAGTAATAATGTCTCAGGTGAAAAAAGAAATGAGAACAATAATGAAAGAATTGTTCAGCATATCAAAAGACGACAATGATAAGAAAACACAAGAGCATAGACAACTCCTGGAAACCTTGAGTGAACAATATAGAAAACAACTAGAATGCCTGAAACAGATTCAAACAGATATCCAGGAAATTAAAAATGCCATCTAAACCTGCTAAAACCACCTAAACAAAGCTGAAGATAGACTGTCTGACCTTGAAGATAGCATTGCCACTAAGGAACGTGACAGGAGCGATCTCTTAAAAACAAGGAACCAGGAAATAACAATTCAATAACTGCAAGACAAAACCAAGAAAAGCAATGTCAGATTAATAGGTACCAATGAAACAGCAGGTATCAACACAAATCACATAAAAAGACTTATTTGCATAAATAATTCCGGAAAATTTCCCAGGCATGGGAAAAGAATCAGACATAAAGACAAGTAAAGCATACAGAACTCCAGTTAATCATAATCAAAATAAATCTAGACCCAGACATATAGTGATAAAGATCCCAGAAATTCAACAAAAGATCAGAATATTAAAAGCCGTTAGAGAAAAGAAACAGATCACCTATAAAGGACAGCCCATGAGAATCACGGCACATTTCTCAACTCAAACCATCAAGGTAAGAAGAGCTTGGAGTGAAGCATTTCAGGTATTGAAAGAAAACTTACAACCCAGATTGATGTACCCCGCAAAAGTATTCTTCAAAATTAATGGAGAAATAAAATATTTTCATGATAAAGAACAACTGAAGAAATTCCTGAGTGCCGAACAAATCCTATAAAGAGTACTAAAAGATATTCTAGAATGAGATAAAACAGACCACAACTTCAAGAACAACAACAGAAAGGAACCAACAAGCAGTGCAAGCAATTAAACAGAGGAAGAAAAGAGGATCCAACAGCAGGAAAATAACATGACAAAGATAAGCCAGTACATATCAGTTATAACCATCAATGTAAATGATCTCAATGCACCGACCAAAAGAAAACTAGCAGAGTGGATCAAGAAACAAAATCCAACTGTATGCTGTATACAAGAAACACATTTAACTCAAAAAGAAATTCATAGACTGAAAATTAAAGGATGGAAAACAATACTCCATGCAACAGGAACCCAGAAAAAAGTGGGTGTAGCTATTCTGTTTGCAGACAATGTGAACTTCAAACCAAGAACAATTAAAAGAGATAAAGAAGGTCACTACATACTTGTGAGGGGAAAGCTTCAAGAGAAAGAGATAACAATCATAAACACCTATGCACCAAATATAGAAGCACCCAACTATGTAAGACAAATTTTAACAGACATGAGAAGTGAAGTAAGGAGCAACACAATCATAGCAGGGGACTTTAACATATCATTGTCACAAAGAGATAGATGAACTAGACAAAAAATCGGGAAAGAAATAACAGAACTTAACCAAACTTGTGAACATATGAACTTAGTAGACCTTTACAGAGCGTTACACCCAACAGCATCAAAATATACATTCTTCTCAGCTGCACATGGGATGTTCTCTAAAATACACCACATGCTAGTACAAAGAACATGTTTAAGTAAATGCAAAGGAATTTAAATTATCCCATGTATACTGTCAGACCGTAGTGCAATGAAACTGGAAATTAAAAAGAAACAAAAACTCCATGAACTGTTGGAAATTAAATAACATCATCCTGAACAACCAATGGTCACAGATGAAATTAAAGTAGACATTAAACACTATTTATAATCAAACGAAAATGTACGTACAACCTACAGGAATCTGTGGGATGCAATGAAAGCAGTCCTCAGAGGAAAATTTATAGCAGTGAATTTCCACTTCAGGAAAACAGAACAAGCACAAATAAACACTCTTATGCTGCACTTCAAGCTCTTAGAAAAAGAAGAGCAAGTGAAACTCAAAACCCAAGAAGACAGGAAATCCTAAAGCTCAGGGCAAAAATCAACGCAAAGGAAACTAAAAGAACAATACAAACAATTAATGAATTCAAGAGTTGGTTCTTTGATGAAATAAACCCCTAGCCAACTTTATTTAAAAAAGCAAAGAAAGGAGCTGGGGGTTTAGCTCAGTGGCAAAAGCGCCTGCCTGGCATGCGCAAGGTCGTGAGTTCGGTTCCCGGTACCGGAGAAAAACCAAAAAAAAAAAAAAAAAAAAAAAAGCAAAGAAAAAACTGAAATACATGCAATAAGGAATGAAAGAAGTGAAATGACTACAGATCCTAAAAAATTCAGAAGATCATCAATATCTATTTCAAAAATCTTTAGTCTCATAGGATGGAAAACACAGAGGACATGGACAGATTTTTAGATACATATGAATTATCAAAGCTGAATCAAGAAGATATAAAAATTCCTGAATAACTCAGTATCAGTCAGTGAAATGGAGAATGTAATAAAAAACTTGCCAATGAAGAAAAGCCCAGGTCCTGATCAATTCAGAGCAGAATTCTACAAGAAATTTAGAGAAGATTTAACACCAATTCTTCTCAAACTTTTTAATGAAACTGAAATGGAAGGAATTCTCCCTGGACACAAGTATTATCCTGACACCAACACCAGAGAAAGACCCAACCAAAAAAAGAGAAGTACAGGCCAAGCTCCCTAATGAATATAGATGCAAAAATTCTCAATAAAATACTAGCAAACAGAATACAACAATTCATCAAGAAGATTATACACCATGACCAAGTGAGATTCATCCCAGGAATGCAGGGATGGTTCAGTATACACAAATCAATTAATGTAACACACCATGTCAATAGAGCCAAAGACAAAAATCACATGATCATCTCTATTCATGCAGAAAAAGCCTTTGATAAAGTCCAACACTCACTCATGATAAAAACCCTACAGAAAATAGGAATAGATGGCCTTTACCTCAAGCTGATCAAGGCCATCTATGATAAATCAACAGCTAACATCATACTACATGGTCAAAAATTGAAAGCTTTCACATTAAAATCATGAACAAGACAAGGATGTCCACTGTCACCACTCTTATTCAATATAGTTCTGCAAATATTAGCTAGATCAATTGGACAAGAGAGAGATATTAAAGGAATAAGGATAGGAAAGGAAGAAGTAAAATTATCATTATTCACAGATAACATGCTACTCTACATAGAAGACCCCAAAAACTCCACCAAAAGGCTTATGGATTTAATAACCAAATTCTGTAGCATACCTGGATAAGAAGTTAACACCCAAGAATCAAAATGCTACACAAAAATGTGTAGCATTCCTGTACACAAGCAACAAACAGACTGAGAGAGAAATTAGGGAAACCATACCTTTCACAATAGTATCTAAAAAGATGAAATATTTAGGAATCAGTCTAACAAAAGTAGTAAAAGATCTATATAGTGAAAATTATAGTGCTCTGAAAAAAGAGATCAAAGAGGGTATCAAAAAATGGAAAGATATTCCTTGCTCATGGATAGGAAGAAACAACATTGTGAAAATAGCCATGCTCCCAAAATTGTTGTAAAGATTCAATGCAATTCCAATTAAAATACCATTAGTATACCTCAAAGATCTATAGAAAGCATTCCTAAAATTCATTTGCACCAGAAGCCTAAAATAGCAAAAGCAACGTTGGGCAACAAAGGAAAGGCAGGAGGCATCACAATTCCTGACTTGAAATTATATTACAAATCTGTGATAAAATCAGCATGGTACTGCACAAAAACAGACCTGAAGATCAAGGGAACACATTAGAAGATATAGACACAACTATAGGTCATATAAAGAATTCAAAAAAAAAAAAAAAAATCAGGCCCCCCAAATTCAAAGACCCAATCCAAAAATGGCATCTGAGATGAATACACACTTCTCAAATGAAGAAACTAATGGCGAATAAATACATGAAAAAATGTTCAACATCATTAGTCATTTGAGAAATGCAAATTAAAACACTGAGATTCTATCTCACCCCAGAAAGAATGGCTATCATCAAGAAATCAACCAATAACAAATGCTGGAGAGGCTGTGGGGATAAAGGAACCCTACTCCACTACTGGTGGGAGTATAGAGTGGTGAAACCACTGTGGAAATCAGTTTGGAGATTCCTCACAAAACCAGGATTAGAAGTTCCCTTTAACCCAGCTATTCCCCTTCTGGGTAGTTTCCCAGAAGAATTAAAACCATCATGCCACAGCGATATATATGCACCCATGTTTACAGCAGCACAATTTGTTATAGATGAATCTCAGAAACAACCCAAATGCTCATCCACTGAGGAATGGATAAAAAAGCTGTGGTATTTTTATGCAATGAAGTATTACTCAGCTATAAAAAAAGAGAAACGAGACTTTTATAGGTAAGTGGATGCAACTACACACCATACTCCTAACTGAAATAAATCGGACCCACATGTGTAAATATCATATTATCTCCCTGGTGTAAGAACCTGAGGAAAAAACTCAAAACGTACAATAGATGATGGGAAAGGGAAAGAAATTGCTCAGAGGAATGAATGACTAGGATGAGGAAAAGAAGAAAAAAGAAAGGAAGGCAAAATATATATACATATATATGAATAGCTGCAATAACTGTTGCTGATGTCTGATGGTATATTGAAAGGAACAGTTAATGCTTAAAATTTTTTATGTTCGGACCAATTTTGCATGCTTCTATCTGGTAATCTGAGCAACTGATCTGAAGTTAACAATATGCAATGGAACTACCATGGTGAATTCCTACCATCTTGTCTAGTGAAACTCTCTATTTTCTCTAATGTTTTACCTAATAATTATTTTCTTATTCTCTTTAATGGTTTGAACAATCTTCCATTCTTACATCTGGTAATCTCAGCAATGTAGTTGAAGATAACAATATGTATTGTAACAACCACTGTTAATTCGTATTATTTTGTCTTGAAACCCTGTATCACTTTAAATGTTCTTGCTTTGGTTTGTTTATGTTTGTTATGCTGATACGCTGCTATTTTTTTTTTCTCATTTACTACTCTTTAAAATAAAACAAAAAAAAAAATAAAGCACAGAGATAAAGCACACTGATAAAAGCAACTCACGATAGACTCAACATTTTAACTTAAATCTATTATGTTCTAAAATCTGTGGTCTTAAGCAATCAAGCTTTACTTTCCTTCAAAATATGATCAGCAGATACAGGGTGATACCATATATTCCAGGCAAGAAGTGGAGTGTGTAGCAGAGTGACTATAAGTGCTGAGACACTGATGTGCCAACCTGACAGATTATTAAATTAAAAATTCACTGATGGCCTTCTCTTGCTCTCTCTCTCTCTCTCTCTCTCACACACACACACACACACACACACACACACACACACCATGCTCATTCACACACTCTTGCATTATCTTGGTTCAGATGCCATATGCAAGCTGTGTGATTTGGGCAAATCACTTTTCTTGGCACGTTAGGTTTCTCACTGGTGAAACAGTGACCACTGCTTACATCTCTTCGTGCAGATTAAATAATGTATGCAGAGGTTCTCCCACACTACTTTACAGTGCTACTATGCCAATACATGTATTTTGAAAGATTTTTTTTCATGTTGCCCTTTGAGAGTCAAACGTGCTCTAATGAGGCACACCAAAACATCAGTGACTTTCCTGGCACAAAGTGTGTGGTCGAGGATCTCATGACCTGTGCATCTTGCTCTCAATCCCTGGGATGATGGATAACCCCACTAAAAAGCCACAGGGAACAGCAGGGTAGAAGTAGGAAATCAGTTGAGCTGATAAGAACTTTAGCTTTTACCAACTACATGATTATTTAATCCTGTTTCAAAAGCTTTAGTAGCCAAACTTAGCAGTAAGTATTTTTGTGTGTGCCCCCTACAAAGACTAGGCAGTTTTGAGTGGTGACTCCCTGCTGTGCTAGAAGGAAGTCCCCTCCCCACTGCTGAGCATCCTGAGAGAAAGAATGACACTAACCTGTAATTTTACAAGGAAGATTTTTGACAATAAAAATGATTCTTCTGGTGCTGTGCTTTAGGAACTCCTGATTCCTACTCTGATTAAACATTTAATTTCAAAATCATGTTTTGATAGGTTATTTTCCTTGGTGTTCACCTCGGCCAAAGCTTTAACACTGAGCAAAGGAATTTGGGCTTCTAAACTAGTGATTTGTGGGTTACATACATTTAACTTTTTGGGTAAGCATATTAGTACTGCTTTTAGTTCATATTCTTGTTTAGAAACTCAGCAGTAATGAAAATGTACTCCTCTTTGAGGTTGAGAATTAGGAAGTCACTAAGGTACTTGTAATACACATCTGTGTTTTTAAGTATAATTACAGTGGAGTCAGACTACAAATGTGTAATAAGGGTAATAAGTACCCTGCTTGATTTAATTGATTAAAACTGTGATGTTTAGTCCTAAAGTAACTGGAATTCTGTCATCAGTGAAGGTCATATCTGTGTTCTTATATGTACATGGCAGTGAAATTGTAATAAAGACATACTGAAGCAAGAATCAGTAATAGCCGTAGTAGAGGACCACGCTGAATTACAGAATTTGAAGTGCATTTTGGGTTGCGTTATGAATATGGAAGTAGTGGTTTGAAGAATTTAAAACATTTTGCCAGTAAAGGCTTTGCTCACCAACTTTAAATGACCAAATAATTTGCCTTCCTATTTGCTCATTTAAGTGCTCAGAATGCTTATTTCATTAGGAATGCTAGACATGGTAACAGTTTATCAAAATCCAACTGGCTTCATGTTGATGTGTCATACATTTCAAAAATATGGTCAACCATACCATAGTGCTTAAGTCTCAGGGTAAAAGTATGTTACTAAGTACCACACTTTCATTACTTAGCCAAGGTTCTAGTTTCAGGGTGTTCTGTTTTTATTACCTTGAAGATAGAGGCCTAAATCATGGTATTCAAGAAGTGGTTTCTGTTGAGCCCCGCCTTTTCATTCTTTCTCACACTGCCAGTGGTTGAATCTGTCTTATTTCCTTTGTCTTTCAAGTAATTAGCACTGGGTTGGGGATATAGCTCATTGGTAAAGTACTTGCCTAGTGTATGAGAGGCCTTGGGTTCAATCCTCAGCAACGAAAAAAAAGTTGCATATTTCTATACAGGCCTTAGCCATCCTAGTTAGGGGGAAGGTTTTTGGTGCAAACAAATATGAATCCACACCTGTGTTAATTTCATTTGTAAAGCTAGGTCCATAATTATAAACTGAAGTGCTGAATGCTTCACCACCATCCCCTTGCTATGCAGAGTTCTAGTGAATGAAAGAATTACCTTTGACGCTTTCAAAAGGGGGTTTCTTACAAAATATGAATGAATAATAAATCTTTGCACTTAGTTGTCTAAGGCTTTATTGACAGAAAATATTTATACGTAACTAGCTAAAAGAAGTAAAAGTGGAACTATGTAAATAAGCTCATCTCCTCCCAGCTTTCCTTTTGGGAAGGATTATTTCCACATTGGAAAGTTTATTGGTAAATGCCTCTTTCTTCTGTCACAGCCTGCAGTGTATATCAGAATAAAGAACCGAGCCCAGAATGAGTACCTGACAGTCACTGGAAATCCAGCTGACACAAGGGCAGTGTCTGTATGCATCTCTCCCTACAGTGGAAAGAACACTCAGATCTGGCACTACTGTCGGGGACTCTTTAAATCTAAGGTACTCTACTTCTTGATGTTTTGTATTTTTATTTTGGAAAGTGAATTCTTGCCAAATAACTGGCATAAATAAAATAATGTGACTTCCTAGGTACTAAAGCATTTAAGTAAAATGGACTAAGATAATTCTTCGATCTAGAAAATTCAATTTTAAGTAAAAACTAAGGTTATCACATACGATAGATGTGCTTAAGTAAAATTCTTTAAACCAGTGATGTAAGTCACTGGATCTGAATTAGGACAACAAGCTTGAGACATTCCTCACTTGAAGAACAGACAGGATTAGCTGTCTGTATGGTTCCTAAAATGTTAAAACCTTTCTGTTTTCAAAATATACAATAAAGTAGTAGTAGAAGAAAGAAGCTATTACTGGAAAAAGCTTAGAAAATGAGAATTAGGTTTGTTTTTTCTGTCTCTTCCATTATGCTTAATGTTATGGGGGATAAGCTACTGTTTTGAAAAAGATATTAAAACTACATTTTAGTGTATCACCAATTTATCTACTTCTCATGCTTCAAAAAATGACAAGTATTTAAAAGTAATAATTGTCTGGGTATCTTTAGCACATCACAGGGCATTTTTATAGAAAACTAAGCTACACATAATCTGTCTTAAGTTAATAGGGTCTTAACATTTAACTCCATTTCAACAAATTTTCATTGAAAATCTGTTGTCAGATGTTCATGTCTTTTTAACAAGTACAAGCAGAACATAGTGGTGCATGCCTATAATCTTAGCACTCTGAGTGGCTGAGGCAGGAGGATTACAAATTAGAGCCCAAACTGGGCAAGTTAATGACATTACAAGAGCCTGTCTCAAAAAATAAGTAAATAAAAGTGCTGGGGGTATAGCTTAGTGCAAAGGCCCTGAATTCAATTCCCAGTACCTCAATTAATTAAAAAATACAGGTATTTTTGGCCTCTAGTTCAGTTTCCATACCATCTCTCCTCAGCTATAAAGATTTTAAAAGAAAGTTTGTTAAGACACAGCCAGCTAATGTCTATGATTTGTTCACCTGAAAGAAAAGGGGCCCATTCAGCTGACTTTAGCAAGTACAGTGCACTGCTGTTACCTTTCCAGGCCAGTGATACATGTCTTGATGTGATTGGCGGTCGGGACACACCTGGTGCCAAGGTGGCCCTACGGACTGAACATGGACAGTCCAGGCAGAAGTGGAGACTCAATAAAAACGGAACTATCAGCTCTTATCTCAGTGATCAGCTTGTCCTTGACGTTAAAGGTGAGCCTCGGATAAAGCACAATGCTGCATTCCTGGATATCAATTCAAGTTTCAGTCCTCCTCTTTATGGTGAAGGACAGCCTGATTTTATGTAAGAGACGTCAGTTTTAATTATTCTTGGAAAAAGTTAAGACGTACATTTTTACAAACCAAACAGTAGGTATACAGATCAAGCAGAAAAAGTCCAATAATAAAGTATGAGGTCATTTTTTGTACATTAGTAAAGTTATAAAATTTTCATTTGCAACTGTAATTTTCATGAACTCTGAGAACAAGTCTTAATTAGAGGCATCATAACCATAAAATGAAATGTCATCTGTTTCATAGAAAGAAGCATCTTTTTTTTTGCCTTGAATTGCGATGGTCCTTAAAAACCCTCAGTGAAAATTTATGGAAGGTATCAATTAACCGTGGTTTGAATTAGGAGTGGTCAGGGCCATTGTTATTCATGGCTTTTGCTTTAATTGGGTTGGTCACACCACTGTTGATGCAGAAACAGAAACACAGTGCCTGACATCGAGCCAGAGCTCTTCGGGGCAGTCTGTTCTGAAGTCTGGCACCATCGGGGCACAGAGCTTCTATAACCATGTGTTATGCCTTTTAATTCTTCAGTCTGAGTCACAGTAAAGGTCCACCTGGAGGTGACAATGTTTCAGACAACTCTGCAAATGACATTAATCTACTTTAAAAAGTGGGCTGAACAAGTTTGTGAAAACTTGAAATTGCTAAACACCAGTGTGAACAAATGTTTTTTTCTGAAATTTCTACTTTAGGAGGAAATTATTATGACAAGACGCATGTAATTGTAAATCAGACCCTGGAAGGACAGGAAACACAGAAATGGGACATTGAAATACTGTGAGAAAATCAGCACCCTTAGAAGGAGCAAAAGAACCTCAGCCTCCCTCATTGTCTTAGGCATTTGGAAAAGAAGCTACTGTGTCCTCACCTGCTGGAACCCTAAGCAGAATGAATTTTTTCCCCAATCTCCAATACTATTGCTCTTCAACCACTGAAAAGTTCAAAATGACTCTTGCCAATTAAGAATTCCTATGAAGCAAATATTATTTCTAAAAAAGGTTTTATTCAGATGGATCCCAGTAGTGGTGAGCAAGTGTCCTGAATTCTATATTTTCTCTCCTACCCACCAAACATGAATCCTGTATCTGATGACTCTTTACAGGACAGGGGTGACACTATCACCTGTATTGGTTATCAGTACCTTCATGCTGGTTACTTCTACGAGTGTACAGGGAAACAAACTCTCCTAAGTCATCATTCTGTTACAAAGATTAATAATTTTTAATATCTGAAAACATTTAATAAGCCTGTTAAGCTGCTGTTGTATTAAGTAAGCCTTCAAGTTTCTATACTGAAGCTTTTATAACTGAAGCATCCCATAAGTACTTAAACAGTACTTTTAACTGACTCTAGAGAGGGACTGCTGCAATATCAGGAGTATTTTATGTGGCCATTCTTCACTCAAAACAAACAAACAAAAAACATATAAATAAACCTACAGTGCCAACTTCTAAAGTTACAATCTAATGTTAACAAAGATACCCCTCTAGGCAGCTAGACCCTTAACAGTAGCTCCTATCCTGGTGCTAAGACCTTGTCCTAGATTTTGCCTGATTCGCCCTTAAGGCAAAGTGTTTAGAAAGACGGTGTTATGTAAGAATAGTCAGATTTTTTTTTTTTTTTTTGGTCTGGAGAAGTAAAAGGAAATGCCAAACACGCAAATTAAAACAAAGTAGTTTGAGCTTTGACCTTAACGTCTTACCCTTAGAGTAAAGGTGCAATGATTTCTGTACTTAAGGACACAAAATTCAGTTTCCATTCTCATTTTTTAGAACTCACATTGAAACAAAATCAGGTAGGAAATCATCTCTGACTTGGTAATCTAAATACTACCTTGAATAGCACAATTTACAAGTATTTTTCCCTCGAGTTGTATTTAAACTTACCTTGAGACAGCTGTTCCTTTCATCCACCTATTTTTGCCAGAAGGCAGGAAAATGTTCTATTTTTATATAGAAAAATTAAAATATCCAGTGATATTTTAAAATCAACCTTTATGCACTTTAGAATATAAAATAACAGTGAATAGTTTAAACTCAAAGAGGCCACTAGTTTGAGTATTTTTATAGGCTTGGTATTTTCATGTAAATACTGGTTGTCTCCCTCCTCACCCTTTCAATCTCAGGCTCTTTACCTTTTAAGCAGCATCTGAAACTCCCTTACATCCCCAGATGTTGAATGCCTCCCCTCAAGCATGTGGTGGTATTAAATGAAACTCATGTTACATGGAAAACTATTTTACTGGGGGGCTTGCATATACATAAAAGGTATGTATATTATCATTGTGAAAAACCAACTTAAAAAATTGTTCACAAGTTTTCGAGAGCCAAAGAAGCTCTATAAAGAAGTTGTTAGTCCAAAGAACAAAGACAAAGCCAGGTTGATGACATTCAATTCTACAAGCCACATTTATTGGAGTTGTGCCTATTCTACCACACTGGACTAAATAAACTTTCAGAAGCATGGTTTGGTCACATTTTGGGACATCTAGTACTTGTAGTTTTTTCTTATGTGCTCATTAGTACAAATATGTCTCACAACAATAGACACAGTGAGAGATAAGGATGGTGACCTTCTCTTTTTGGGTTATGTGCATAGCCGTGTCTTAGTGGGTGGACTCAAAACAACAGTAACTACCTAGCACATCTTCCCCTTAAAAAAAACTAAGCATATAAAGTAGCAACTGTTTGCTTGTGGAAAGGCACTAAACTACTTGGATTAAACATTCCGTCCAGAGGGACAATACCAAGTTCTCTTTTTCCTCATCTGTAGTTAGTTTCAGGTTCTTGACAGAAATAGCTGAACTGTTCCAAATTTGCTTCAGTGCATCCACATGTGATAAAGGAAACCGAAGTCCACAAGGCTGAAAGGGGTGAGTCAAAAAACAAACTAATGTCACTGAAGTAGCATTTTCATAACAACCCCCCCACAATTCTCAACACATTCTTGATGTCCAGCATAACTATTTTAGATAAACTATTTATACAGAGTTGCCAATATCCACATGATGCTTGCACTTCATGAAAAATATTCTGATTTAGGTAGTAAGAGATACTAGTCATTTGCAATTAATGTTTTAAAACTGGTCAATGTTAAGGGGCTGGGGATTTAGCTCAGCGGCACAGTGCCTGCCTGGTAAGCGCAAGGTCATGGGTTTGATTCCCGGTACCAGAAAAAAAACAAAAAAAACTCGTCAACGTGTATCACAGAATTGTCTGATTTAATCGCCCCTTTACAAGGACTCTATCAATCACGTGAAATGTAAGTCCACATTGCAGCCATAAAAAAGCATATTGCCTGTAAATAAAATTTTTCCCAGCTAGTGCCCCAATTACAGGAAAAACATTTTTCTCAGTTGCAACAAACCTTTGTTTCCTCATTTCCCATCATGTGTATCTCTCTCCTATTCTTTAAAGAATGATAGATGTAAACCATCTTTTCTTGCGCTTCATCCTTTTAAGCAAAAAAAAAAACCAAAATTGTGGGCTTTAATACCAGGCAGATTTTCCAACAGGTCAATAGCAAGAAAAAAATCTCAAAGTTTTGGTGCCCAGTGAAATTTACTGAATGCTGTAAGGAATCCTCAAAGTCCCATGGGTGTACATATTGTACATACTTCCTCAGTCATCAAGATTAGTACCTGTATGTAGTACTTGAAGTCACTTTTTTAAAAGGCAGTATCTTGATTTATATACCAGCTTACTGACTGGTAAGGTTACAGTTGTTTCTATCTGTACTTTATCATCCAAAATTGGCAATTTATAGAGTGATTAACTGAGGGGCAATACCAGCTGTGTGATAAAGAGGTCAAATGATTTCTACCTCATAGGTTATCTCTTCTAGAAACTTCAGTTATTCCATGTCACGTCTTTGACAATGGCCAAAAATCCTCGGCCTTACGCACCGTCTTAAACTGACTAGTTATCAGAGTAACTAGGATATATTTTCTAAAGTAGAAATATGTACTTTTGAGATGTTATGTGTCAAATGTATCCAGGTCTGACCCTGAAGGCTGGAACCGTCTGATTAAGAAGACACGTAAATGCCCCTTCTGCTCAGTCTTTCAATGGGTACCTCCAAAGACAGCTGATTATAAGGAATAAAGTATGGGATAGTTCTCAAAATTCTTAGTCTGATACAGAGCTCTGAAAACCCATAAACACAGACTCTAACCCAACTCAGATGAAGTCAGTAATTTATCAAAGGTTTCCAGTTGATTCCATGATCAATTACCCAGGGTAGGGAATCACTAGGTGGGGTAGTAAAGTTACAGAATATAGATTCTGATTGCCATGATCTACAGAATAGGTTTTAGTAGAAGAATCAATGAAACCACACAAAAATAGATCTGTGTACTGTAGAAGATCAAAGGGGGAGTAAGGCAGGGATTCTTGCAGACAGGCCTGCAGCTGTCTAAGCAAGGGCAGTGTGGCCTGCAGCAGAATGAGAAGCCAAGACCAGATCCATATTTATACAAGGGGAATGAAAGAGGGTCTGTGGGGATGACAGCAAGCCTTAAAATACCTAACAGGCAGGAAAGTCTAACACTGTGAGATCAGGGCATTATGTGACCACTAAGGAACACGGATTCCTAAGGGAAAATGGCAGGGAACAGTGGTTCCTCTGGTAACCTGATGCCTGTGCTGGAAATACCCCGAGAACAGAGGAAACCTTCTCTTCTAGATACTCACAGGTCGATTCTCATCTGGCCCTACTGTGAGGATGATGTGGTCTTTAAATTGCAGTCTCACTGTGCTGTCCAACCTTGGCAACTTCCCACCTAGAAAACCCCAAAGAAAAGCCCACTATCAAAAACAGAAAGCAACAGATACAAGTATTTAGGAAACAGCAAACCTGTAGACAAATCCAGATGTGGAATGTCCTCTCCTACTCAGATATTTGCTTCCTCCAATTCTGTGATATTAAAAGTGTAGTAGTTCACATCCTTGTGAAGCTCACTGTTACAGTGAGGACAGACATATAATTAGATAACAATATAAGTTTGTGAGAACATTAAATAGGTACAAATACTGTTGAACTGTAATAACTATTTCAACTGAGGACTGTGTTGTCTTAACAGAGCATACACTTTTCCAGTTTCTATCCTTTATCAGCTTCTTCACACCCTGGATCCTATAGGAACTACCAACTTCAAATTGCACCACCCCATCAATTCCTAGCTGTGTGACCCTGGCACATCTGGTGTGGGTAGGTCAAGCAAATTGTCCTATAAAAGCAATCCAATACAGTTCGTGAAAAAAAAAAAAAAAAGAAAAAACTCTTTCCTAAAGTGGATTTGATAAAAAAAAAAAAAGAAAAAAAAAGCATCCACTAAAAACCTACTATACTTAAAGATCAGAGACAACCCTGACAGTCTTCTTTTTCACCTAATGACACATTTTACCCATCCAGGCCTTAGATCTAATGAGAGTATTTCAGTGTTCAAGTTCTTAAGATTATGAATAGCAAAGTACCCAAAAGTGTACATATTTCTTACCCAAAAGACAGGATGTTTATTCTCCATCATGCTGGAATATACGCATTCTCTACAAGTGACCACTAAGGTGTTGGACACTGACTGCAACAGCTCCACTCCAACTACACACACTAAGGGTAGATGTAGGTCCACATTACAACTAAAATGCTGCTTTCTACCTACACAGAAAGTACCCTAGCTAAGAAAGTCTCAAGTATCCCCACCAGCCCCAACCACCTAGAGGTAAATAGCAAGCCCCACCTGGTGCTGATAGCTCTGTTCCATCTCCTACATAGTAAGGGGGAAGTCTATGTGTAACAAAATCCTTCTTCATGTCTGATGAAAGCAGTTCTTTAGTGCCCTCCAGCCGTTCTGCAAGAGTCCTCAGAAAGCCATTTAATCTTCTTGTTGCAACAGGTGTTTCCACTTGCTAGAAACAGAAATGAGCACAAGCCTGGACCCCAGGTGGATGTGCTACCAACCGCAGTCTCCACAGTAACCTGCTGAACCTAATACCCACCACACACTCTAGACCTGAATCTGTGTCATTATGGGGCAGGGAAGGGAAGGACACCACCAGGACCTTAGAAACACTATTCTATTGCTTCTTGAAACCACTGCCGATCTTTTTCTTATGAAAAAGATCCATTTTCAAGATTATGCCTGAAAAGAAAGGGGGTATCCTTGGAAATACAGCACAACCTGAGCTCTTGGCCTTTAGAAATCAAGTCACTATTATAAGGTGACTGTTTCAGTGACCTTTGCTCTACTCAGCACTAATTCACCTATCTTTTCAAAACTAACCCAACAGAACTTCTACTTCAAAGTGCAACAGGACAGTAAAGTCAAGGAACACACCAACACTGAGGATCTCCAATGGGTGTCTTCCCCAGCAATGTGATGTGTGCTAAGTCTGTAGTTCTATACAACTGTTTATTCAGCTAACATTCCCACAGTGCCTGCTACTAGTATTCTGAAATAAAGAGCTGTTGGGTGGTGACAACTACCACTCTCTGAACAACCAGCTAACAGGCAGCACTGTGTTCTCTCTGCTGGTCCTAAAGGACAGCACAGCAGACAAGCGAGGCTCATCTGGGCAGAAGTCCCAGCGTCCCCAGGTGGGGCTTTCATTGGCTTGGGCTGAAGCTGCACCTTCATGTCTACCTGCCTTTCCTCCTTACCATGAGCAGCTGCCGGGGTATTCCACTCCGTAACTCCACATCTTCCTTTGCAGCATCAAACACAAGCCCCGAAATGGTGTCCAAAAGGAAATCTGCCCATGAACTAGAACATGCACCAAGAGAGAGAACAGTAAGTGCATACAAAATATACATAAAATACCTACTAGTAAACACTCATTGTAGGATCCAGAAAAAATATTTTATGCAATAAACCCAATAGGAATATATTTAGGGTAACTGAAAGATCTCTGTACTATGCAATTATTTGAACAGTTAAATGTTACATTTTCTTTTGTGGAAAACTACTCCTTACTTAAAAAACAAGTCTACCAACTTCAGTTTTAAAAAATTGATTTCTGGCAACAGTTGCACTGGGATAGAAGCCACTGGGTAAGAGCCACTAGGAATGAGCACCAGTGTTTGATGACCTGTGCCTCAGGCAGTGAGAACTGCTTCTTTCCCACCATGTGCCGGTGTGAGTCACGCTCTGTGGCGCGGCTCTCTTTAAACATTTCCTAGCTTGTTTCAAATTTTTCTGTGCCCCCAACAGATTTTGTTTTTTTTTTTTTTTTTTTGGTTTTTCTCCAGTACCAGGAACCGAACTCATGACCTTGCGCTTGCCAGGCAGGCGCTTTTGCCGCTGAGCTAAATCCCCAGCCCCCCAGCAGATTTTGAATTGCTAGCTGTGTGCCAAATGGAAGTTCACAGTGTGACTTTCTTGTCACTCTGTAAGGAAAATGAACACTTTTCTGCTTCCATTCTGGGTAAGAGGCAAAGGAAGACAAAAGCCACCTGAGACACACTTTCCCCAAGGCATCCACTCTCTGGTGGCCTCACTGCTTTCTGACTTTAAGACACTTCTAAGCTCACATCTTTTATTGAACTTGAACCTGGACCTCTCAGCAGCATAAAATACCCACTTTGAATAGTAGTAGATGGAAATCGAAGGCCACACCTCATTACAGAATTTAATGGCAGTTAAACTGTACTCTATACTCTTTTAAGAGAACATATCTCAGAAGACTTAAGAGAATTCAAGAGTAAAACCTCTTGAAGGGTTCATTTAGGTAAAACAGCCAGTTAGCGTACTGCTGCCCCACACTACTTCACAGCAGAAGCAAAAGCTACTGGGTTTAATGAAACAGGAGGTGAAGTAACTGATGATGGATGACTTAAGATGAGCCTCTACTGAGAGTATACACAAGCTCAGGGAAAGAAGAAAAACCAATTCTAGAAAACCAGATGGTGACAGTGCTGGGACGAAGAGAAGCAGAGAGAAGGAGCAAACAGTAGCTGAGTTATAGTGATGGACATCGGAGGATGCACAGGACGAAACTATGCGGCTGCTAAGGTCCAGAGCGGATGTGGCCACAGAATGGACTTCTGGTTCCAGACTCTGTGACCTGGCCCTTTTACAGTTCCTCTGTCTCATTCCTTCAAGTGCCCCTATTCTTTTTAAAGCAGCCTCAGACTTTGTTTCTCATTTGCCAAGGAACCAAACTAGCCACAGTAACAAAAGGCATTTTTCAGTATGGAAGGCCATTCCTCAGCCTTCTGGCTAAAATCATGTGTAGTATCTGCTCTTCTCAGTTTAATATCTGACCACAATACACTAAATGGACTTTTGGAGCTGGGAGATGGAATAGAAACTTGCTCCGTCCACTCCAGGCATCAACCTGGTATTGCAGTACCTCCAGGAATGGTGCAAAAAACAAAACAAAACAAAACAAAAAACCCAAAATGGAAGCCTTATTAGTTTTATTAAACTTTATCTTTCTACTTGTGGGTACTTCTACTTGGTCCTTTATCTTCTAACCACTGGTCAAACTCCAGGTAGTTCCTCCATTATGTCTGTTAAACACGGGTAAATCGCACCCTAACAACTCAGTTGAGGAAGAACAGGTATGTGTACTAACTTGTTTTGCAAGTTATAGCTTTGAAAGTAGGAGGGAAACTGCTGTCCCTTGGACTTGGCATGACCTCTCCTATCCTGATCTTCTGACCCACCTTTATTTGTTCAACCTGGAGACTCCTCAGCTTTAGTGTCAGGTCATTTCTGAAACCCTCCTCGATGCCACAGCTTGGCTTAGTATGCTTCAAGAGTTTCCATGTAACCCTAGAGCAGAGTTTATCACACTGGCAATTGCTTACATATCTACCTCCTGCTCCTACCACTATTTCCAAAGCATAAGCTCTCCCAGAGCCCCCTGAAAATGTAACTGCAGACATCCTGTAACTAGTAGTACTCAGTGCATGCCTGAAGGGTATGCTGACCAGAAAACGTGATCTGGGTCAGCAAGGTCGCTACACTGTGGGAATAGCTCATACACAAGTGCCACCCAGTTCTTCTCATGATTTTTGTGTGTGTGTGTGTGTGTGTGTGGTACCGAGAATCAAACTCAGGACCTTGCACTTGCCAGGCAGGTGATGTGCTGCTGCGCTATCTCCCCAGCCTCTTATCATGATGTTAATGAACTGCGATCTCTGACTTTAGCTCCCACTGTTCCTCCTTTTCCTACTTCAATTTTATGGGCTACAAAAACTGGATATTAAGAGCGAGTTTCAAATGCTCCAGAGTTTCTGTTTGGGGATGTTGAAAACGCTTCAAAACAGAGCAGTGATTATTGTACAATGATATGGATATAGTCAAAACCAACTCAACTGCACACTCACAACGACAGTCTGTTATGCAAGATACAGATACATGGTGAAATTTTTTTTAAAAAGAAGGAAAGAATACAGGCTCAGCCTGGCAGACTAAAATACTGATATACCCACAGCTACGGTTCTTTACTTTCCAAACTATGGTACCCTTGCCTTGGGCAGCTCCCACTACCCTACATAGAGTGAGGTCTGTGACCTTCCCAGGATCACACCGGGGTAATCAGACAGCAGCAAAGGAATGTGGAAGCCAGCAGGATTCCTTGCTGAGAAGGAGCGACCATTCCCGCAGGTGAACGTGGCTGCAGTGGGCTGAAACTTGGAGCGGTGCTGGGACATGGGCGGGAAGAAGCATGTTTACTTTTTCTGGTAAGTGCTGATGGTCACATGAGTAGAATGGGCCAGTCCTGGAGGAGTGTCCGCCTGATGAATGGTCCCTCTGGGAAAATACAACAGATCACCTGGCTAAAGGCAGAAAAAAGGGAGGAAAACGTTATTAAGAGCCATATCTCTCAACTCCTCCTTAAAAAGATAAATACAAGCTTTGAATTTCAGTCCTTTCTAGAACCACTACTGTCTGTGCTGGGCTCTCCTGGCATCAAGTGAGTTGCCTTCAGTATGTCCACAAGCCTGTCCCTGAACTCCCCTCCACATCAGCATTCAGGCCGAGGGTTCCCATCTCAAGCTGATACCAGCTGCACCTGAACTGCCTCACCCCGATGTGGGATGGGAAACGATGACATCCTCTTTCTGGGGCACCTACTCCCTCCCTCTCAGTTAAGAGCAGGGGCTGAGTCACACAGATGCTGCAACATATTGGCTGGGGACTAGGGTAATTTGTTTACCTGCCCTCAGCCTCAGTTTCTCTGACATAAAATGGGATGACAGCCACAAACCCCACAGGATTAGTTCTGCTGTTTCCAAGGCTCTTGGGGCAAGGATGGCTGTGTGTGTGCATTAATATAGTTTATCTGCTTGTCCCCCACTGCTTGATAATCTGAGCTTTTCTAGGCAGTCTATACTTTACCCATCCTGTACCCCAGAGCCTAACCTAAAGTGTCTTCCACACAACACAGGCTCAAAGAATGTTAGGTAAATGGATGAACCAACTGAATCTAAAAACTAGATCTAATAAAAGATTAGTCTGTTTTTAAAGACAGGGTCTCACTATGTAGTTCACACTGGCCTTGAACTTGAGGAGATCATCCTGCCTCAGCCTCCTAAGTCGTGAGATTACAGGCATGTGCTATGGGAGACCAGAGAGGAAGATTAAGGCCTCACTGGCCTCCTCTGTGAGCACTAAGGAGAAAGGCGGTGTGCAAACGAGCTGACATGCTAAGGAAAAGGAACAGCAGCTGAGATCCTATTGTTTACCCAGGCAAGTACCACAGATGCTGGGAGGCAGATGAATCCTGTGTTACTCTAATTGCTCGTACCTGTGTCTGAGTGAATAAAGCCAAGGTGTGCCAGTCACACGGGGCTTTTTGTCAAAGGGAGACAAGAACCCTTTGGCCCCTGACATTTTAACCTAACTGTGTCTCTTTGTGTTTGATCTTTGTCTCCCCTTGGTCAGGTAGGAGCTCGTAGAGTGGTTCCTACAAGCCACCACACCTGGCTCAACTATTTTTGTGGGCAGATGAGCCTCTGCTACCCTGCTCCCTTTCTCTCTCACAAAGCAGTGGACAGAAATATTCTCCAATTAATCCTGCCCTGAACTACTTTCTTCCAGATCCAACCCAGATCAGAATATTCTGAGCAGTAGCTGCCTAATAACAGAAGGAGCCTTGAGAGCAGCTCAGCTCCTCTCTGCAGTGTGTGAAGCAGTCTAGTTCAGTAGCTGAGATCACGAGCCATGGAGAGAAGGCCCAAGAACAGTCACCCAAGAGTGGGCTTAAAGCTGTCCCTCAAGTGGAAGGCATACATGTTTTTATATATCCATGAGGGTGCTCTGCTTGCTAATTCTTCTCTGAATGACCCCAAAAATGACAGGACTTCAAGTAAATAAATGTCTTACTGATAATTATAACTAACACTTACTGAGTATCTGTGCCAGTCCAAGTGAGTCCTTCACATGCATAGCCATTATTTGATTCCCACTAAAGGAAATCAGACAAGTTTTCTAAGAAATAGAATAAAGTTTAATTATGAAGCTATTCCTATCCCTCTGAGGCTTTTTTCCTCAATAACCTTTCTCATGGGGATTAGCTATGTTCCTATCCAGTCTAACTGCTCAAAGACAGATTTTCTTAGCAACAAGGTGTCAACAAACCAGTACATAATCAGGCCACCTGGCTCTGTGGAGAAGGAATCCTCAAGAACTTTCATCATTACTGTTCTTCTAACAACTACATGCAAAGGGAAGGAAAGAGTTCGCAGAAAACAGTCTGCTACATAATTAGGAGGCAAATACGTCATGATGAATTTCTGCGGCGAAAAAACAGGGATTCCTGACTGTACTGTGCCTGTGCTCACGACTGTCTGAGACGTGGAGAAACTGAACAAGGCCCAGTCTTCTGCTGCTATTCTGGAGGAGCTGGTACTGCACAGAATTCATTTTATTTCTGTTAAACTAGATTGTGCACAGAGACAAGTTATTTGGAATTTAATACTTCGTTAGTTCATTTCTCCAAGTACAAACCACAATACTCCAGAAGCTACCTGTGTTGGCTGCTTTCAATGAAAGCCACATGCCCTGAATCTGTGGGATATATGCCCCTGAGACCATTATACAGACTCTAAACTTCAAGGCTGCATTTATCTTAGCAGCAGTGAGAACCAGCTCAGGAGGTGCCCCCTTGGTCATCCTGTACCTTCAACGTGAATTCGTGTGTCGGCGCACCAAGGCAGGCCTCAGACTCCACACTGTACTCGCATGCCAGGGCCACTGTGGGTGGGTAGAGCCGCCAGTGCTTCTCTCCTTCCAGCTGCAGGATAAAAACCTAGAGAGCAAGCAACCATGGTGTCAGTACAGCCCCCTGATAACTGACAGGCAAAATGCTTCCAGAACATCAGCCCTCCAAGGGTTGAGACCAATCACACACTTAAGATAAAAGTGAATGATCAAAATGCATGTCAGTGCACACAAGTGAAAGTTGCCACTACTGGTTTTTATTCTTGAAAACATAATCATGTATCCTGATAGTGATATTAACCCTTTTCACTTTGTTAGAGCTTAACCAAGTTCTTTATATCCAACTATCTCATTCCTTTAAATCTTCTATCAGATAGCTGAAAGCCTGTAATCTCTAGTGGGAAAGCCAAGCTTCAGCTATTGCTGAATGTCTAAAGTTCCCAAAATTGAAAACGCACTGGCAGATAGGTGAACTTAAAAGTTTTAAATTCTTTTTTTTAGCCAAAGATTTTTTAATGCTCTATGAAAAATATGCTTTTTAAAAACACTTCTGGAAAATGTACTGATATCAAATTGCTCTCAGAGGGGGAAAAAAGGGAGGACTTTCTACTATCGTTGTGTTCACACCTTGTACTTCATTAGCACAGAAATACAACTATGAAATACCTAAGCCAAAGAGGTAACTTTTTTTAGAAGCCACATGAGTGAAATCAACACTTTCAAGGTGCCAGTGCCTAAGTGAAACCATGACCCTCATTCAGGCTGCCCAAAGATTTTCACAAATGGAAAAAATATATGTATTTTTGGCAGCTATTGAGAAAGAACAAAATAAAAGCAGATGTAAAGATTTGTGATCTCACCTTATTTTACTTTGTGAAATTAAAGAAAAAGTTAATCACTTTTCTAGAGCTAAATTCAATAAATACCTGTTTCAAAGGAATACATGGCTCTTTGTATTAGTAAGGCTGGTAATAATCCCTCCCTTTGAGAAGGAGCAGGAAACCAGTTTGAAGAAATCTGTTTTGGCCCAACACTTGGATGAAGTCAAACTCTCCAACAGTACACAGAAAGAGCAGCCACAGATCTGGTCTAAGAGTCCTACGAAGTTGCACGACCCATACAAACTCAGGCTCATGGCAACTCTTCTTTCATCCCCTGAGCAATGTGTTCTCTTTCTTACCTCAACATCATCATAATGAGGAGGTAGGCCCTGAGATCCTGCAGGGGTTATGTACACATTTGAGCCAACCAAGGAGCCAAAGTAACACTCTAGCTTCTCCTGGATCTTCCAAAGCTCATCCTGGAGGAGGGTGGGAGAGGAAAATTAGATTAGAAATTAAGAGAAAGCATAACTAAACTTGTTCCCTTACAAAGTCTTCCTTGCACAACTATTACAGGCCAGACAATTAAGTAATGAAAAGCCCCTCAAGAATCTTCCATTCTAGTGCAAACACCATTGAAAAGGTGAGCAAATAAATGAAAGATGGGCAAAGCATGCAACCGAGAGTCCCAAGGGATTTTAGGCAGGCAGATGACACAAGCAAATGTACAGTTTTAAAAGTTCACTGGCGCTTGGGTAGAGAAGAGATGTAGACATGCAAGAGAGACTGGTCTGGAAGCTACTAAGGCAGCAACACAGGGGGAGATGAGCAGGCAATGAAGGAGAAGAGAGGAAAAGAGAAACGGAACAACAAGGTCTACTCTGGGAGCAGCACAGATGGGACACGCTGATAGATAAAGCGGTGGGGATAAGAAGAGTCAAACACAAACAACTCCTAGGCCTCGAACCTGTCAATCAGCCCATGAGCTCCCACTTCCAGGGAGAGGAAGGACTGCTTAAATTTTTTTTTTTCTAGGGAGAAAAAAAATGAAACAAAGAGTTTTACACAGAGATGTTACATTTGGGAGGGTAAGACACTCTCCTTCCCCCAGTGTGGAAATGACTTTAAGCCTGAGGTTCTGGCAAGAAGGAAGGACTTGAATTTATATTTGGGAATTACCCAGCAGTTGCCTTAAAGTGGGTATTTAAGTCAATGGGAACAGAAATGACCACCTGGGAGGAAGACACAGGCACCAGAGTGCCTAATACTCCTCCTCTCCAGTCATTCATCAGCTCTTCAGGTAGAAGGCAGATGGAAGGGCCTGTGAGGGAGAAGCCAGACATTCCTGTGGAGGCATCGGATTTTTCCCAGGACAGAGGAGAAGTGGGTGAGGGAGGCAGCAGTCAAGTCACACAGATACTGGCATTTCCTACATGCCAGGTGCTGCTTCTAGGTGCCTTATGCACGCTAATTCTAGCACTCTTCACAAAAACCTGTCTCACAAGATGGGTACTATTATTGTCTCTGGTTTGCAAATGAGGAAATAGAAGCACCAAAACACAGTTATTAAATGATGACACAAGAACTGAAATCCAAGTAACCTGGTTCCAAAAGTCCACACCTCTAATATAATTTAAGAATAGATGGGTCATCTATATTAAAGAGGTCAAAGTTTTAAGCAGTTTTAAGTACAGTGCCTGACACACAGAAGAAATTGTAATATACTAAAGTATTTGCTGAGTAAACCAATGGCCACAGGTTGACCAATGGCCACAGTTTGGGGGTCAATCGTACCATGGGACTAAAAACAATCTATAGTATTAAAAATACCAAGTGAGAAAGACGAGTCAGTATGAAAAAAGTTTCAAGAGACATGTGTTTATACATTACTGGCCTTCTTTATTTATAGATCTCGGACATTTTCCTTAAACCTAGGGAAAAAAAATTAATGCCTCTGAATAGCTCTGAAGAGGTAACAGGGGTCCCAGGGAGCTTAATTTATTCAGGGAGGGGCCAAGAGGGCCTGACTCTGTAATTATATTTATGTGGCAACTGGAACCACTGGAAAACCAGGGCTTTTCTGACTTTCCCTCTCTGCTGCCAGGAGGTCCAGGATATACTAGTGACTCCCTGACTCAAGATCTGTACCCGACGAAATTATGTCTCTTCTCTTTTTAAAGGTTACCAAAAATGTTATCAACTGTATTGTTTGCCAATTTCTTTTGGACCTTGGCTTCTGATTCTGCCATCTGTGGCCTACTTAGAAAGACGTAGGGCCAAACCACTTTGGTCCAAGTTGTAGTTACAAGCTAGGTTACTTTGGTTTCTTTATTTATAAAACAATTCTATTACTCACCCCAAGACTGGGGAGCAGCACAAAACAATGCATTTCAAATCTTATTCCAATTAAAAAGCAATATACAAGTGTCATTACTTCACCAACACTGACTCAAGGACAAGCAAGCTCCTGAATCTGTCTTCTCCTTTACCACATGACTCCTAAGAGATGCATAAATGCTGAGATGTGGACAAATGAAATACGGAAGGTACAAGTTTCTCCAAAGCTGGGCAAAATCTCCTCTGTCCATTCACTTCTCTCCATTTCCCAGTGAGAATCTCTACAGAATCAAATCAGAACATCTAGGTCCCAAAGCCCATGGGTATACCTGAAGACCAAATAAATATGGGAAAAGCCCTACTGGAAAATGAGCATCTTTCAAAGTATGGTGGGACAATGACTTAAATTTAGAGTCAGACAAGTTCAGAACAGCTATGGAAAAGTATCTAGTATTCCTAGATTAATAAACTGTACACAATCTTAGAACCAGTGAACAAATGGTTGTCTAATCCAGTGTCCACCCAACCTGACCACTCATGAAGGACCACTAGACTTTCTATTCTGGTGTTAATATGCCCATCCCACACTAAACCTCTTCATAATAAGTACTTAGAACTCAGCTTCTACTGTAAGAGGGTGGGGTTCTTCAGTTTCTAATTATTTCAGGTACAAAGAGAAGGTAGTAGAAAGAGAAGAAACAAAACAAAACATCTTAGTCGAGCATGAGGGCTGAGAAAACGCATCCTTTCTGTAATAATAAGAACAGATAAACAGGGTAAAAGGCACTTATGATTCCTAGAGGGCTGCGCGGGGCTGCAGAAGACAAAAAGAGAAATTCAAGAGGGAGGTGACACCAAAGTACAGAAATGATAACCATAAAGGACACCACAAACAGGCCTAACAGTAACCCTCTGCTGGCTTATAACCAAATTACATATAATCAATTCCACTGAACTCATTTATGCTCGTAGTTCTTAGGTTTCTAAAACCCACTCTTAGAAGTGGTGCTTCTTCTCAAGCAGACAGTAATGGACTAGCTCAAAAAGAAGCAGTTTAGGCATGATGTGTATATTTTCAAATTTCAAATCAATTCAAATGTGGTGCGGGAAATGATTTATAAATTTTACTAGGGGCATTTCAGGTCTGCCTGAGATGGAATAACCAAAACCAGGCCTTGTCCTGGATAGAGTACTTACACTACATGCACAGTATGAATAAATTCAAGAATTTTAGGCAAAAGAGAGAAGGACATTCACTAGATGAGGCCTAGTGAGTTAGAACCATTATTGGCAACTGACGGCAGAGTCCCAGGAGCAACCAGTACAGCCACTTCCTGCTCCCCTCAGCACAGCACCTCATGGAGCCCCACTTTCTCCTCCCATGCTGCCACTTTGATTCCGTCATAGGTTACAGAAGGGAGTTTCTAAATGGAGACAAAGCCTTATCTAAAACTCAGAACAGGCCTTCAATTGTTCTGAGGTATGTGTCACACAAAGTTCTCACATCTCCAGGAAAGCAGATTAGCTTATCCTAGATCTGCACTTTGTAATTGCAGAAACTGAGCACAGAGCAGGCAAATTACTCCCCAAAGGTCTATCACTGATATGGAATAAATTTAAAACTTAGCCCGTCCTCCAGGCTGACAGAACAAAGCTGACCTCTACTACCACGGCCACCCCAGGAGCTAATCCAGAACCCTACCCCTCAATGTCACCAGTTTAGCTGTAAGAATGGGGACTCTTTCTTAGACGTGTATCTGGTATGTGATCTGGTCACAGCTATGAAGCCTCTACTTAGAAAGATACAGGCAGCAAAAGAAACCAACTTCAAGAAAAATAATATTGATGTTCTCCTATCTTAAATTATAGACAGGAAAAACCACAGAACAATCTCTACCATATACAAAAACATGAACCAGTCCATATAACATGGTCCTGCAGGAGTGATGCTACTTTAAAAGCTTTATAAACTTGAGATATAATTTAGCTTTATACCTCAGTGATACCCAATATTTAGCGTGGATTGCTTGAGAGTCTAAATAATTTAGATAAAAGCTAATGTAGAATTTAAGCTGGAATGCACTAAGACCAAAAAGATGCTACTCCTTTGAAGAATGGCAGAAGGCACACCATCAAACCACATTTTCACCTGTGAGCTGATCTATGACCAAACGTTAGCACTTGAACAAGTAAAGAGGATTCTGCAGTGGGAAACTTGTTACCTTAAATCTCTGAGGTTGGTGAAACTGAATTGTTGCCCTTTTCCGATCGAAATCTTTTCTGAGCTGAAGAAAATGCACTTTGCCATCCTTATTTAAAACCTTCTTCTTCCCATGGACACACCGGCAGACATTCATGTCTCTTCCATAGTACATGCCCTGGCTGCACAGACTCTTCAAATCTGTTAGCCTGAAGAGAGACTGGTAATATGTGGCAAGTGCAGGGTCATCCCTCTGGATGAGGAGAGGCTTCTTCTCCCAGAATTTCTTGAAAAAAGTCTCTGTCTTGATTGGAGAGATTAAACTTTCAAAGAGACTACTGGGGCTATCAAAGTTTAAGGTGAAAGCTCCACCTATCGCCTCCACCTTCACCCGCTTACTGGGAACAGGCCCCTCTTCCTTCCCATTCTCAGTAGGCTTCGCTTTCTTTGGCATTGTTCTGTGTTCAAGACAAAGCAGGGAGGAAATGCAGACCTACCCAAAGAACAAAACACATGATTAGGTTTTCCAAAACACATGATTAGGTTTTCCGAAACACCAGTACTGGTGTCGTGGATCTCACACGCACACTGTGTGGGACTACTCTACCTTCCTGAGAATGCTTCCTAAGTCAATGCTTTCTCAAGGACGTGAGAACCTTACACCAGTACCATTTCTTCAGCCTCAGGTATGACTGAGCTTCAAACACCACTCAGATTTTATACATTCATCCAAAGGAGAACGTGCTTTTCTTTCACACATGCATGAACTCCTTGAATTCATCATTTATTCAGGTGTATAATTATTCCCAAGTAACCACGCAGCCGTCTCAGCAGTTCCCGGTCATAGGCTGAGCACTGATAGAGCAAAGCCAGAAATCTTGACTTTGGCTGCCATCAGACCCATGTCCTGAATCTAATTAGATGGACTCGGAGTTACAAACATCTGATGGCAGACAACCAATAGCTGTCCACTGCCAGCTTGGTGTGCTCTTCACCACAGCACCACCCTCAACTCCTATTCAGGTAGGAACCAAATCTCTGGAACAGTGGTGCCACCTGCTGGCTGAAATGAGATGCTGCCTGAGCCCAAGACCATTCTTCCCTTCCAAACCTGAGTATGGCTTTGAAAACTACCATTGTATCAGAATCTTCCCCCAGTTAAAGAGCAACACACACCAAACCAAACAAAACCTAAAAAGTGACATCTAAACACAGTTATAGACCAGTCTTTAAAAAGCTGTAACTTTTTAACTGAAGTAAAACATAAAATACAAATATCCTTGACACAGCACTTCTCTAACTTTAATCACCAGAACACTTTGTAGTTTATGATGCACTAGATCGGAGATGGGGCTTCATATTTCTGTCTTTTTCTTCTCCCCACATCACCCTGTGTGTGTGTGTGTGTGTGTAATGGGGATTGAACCTACAACCCTCACACTGAGCTACATTCCCAGCAAATTTTCTGAAATGGTCTCAGTAAGTTGCCTGGGCTGGACTCAAACTCATGATCCTCTTGTCTCTGCCTCCCAAAGTGCTAGGATTACAGACCTGTGCCATTACACCAGGCATAAAATTTCTAACATGCTCTGCAGTAGTGATGCTGCTTGTCCATAGGTGGTACACTTCTGGGTAGCATGAGATATGATACTCCCAAGCATTCCCAGGTCTCAGAACTGCCCCAAACCACAACCACAATCATACATATAAGACCCTGGCATTTTCTGAGTTGAAGAATTGTGATTTAAATTACACAAATTTCCAAAGGTTAAAAATTATTTAAGTATCCCTTAAATAAGTATCCCTTATCAAAATGATTAACATTTAGTATCCCTTATCAAAATGCTTAGGACTAGAAGTGTCTGATTTTGGAATATTTGCAAATATACAATGAGTTATTTTGACGATAAGGACCCATCTAAACTCAAAATCCACGTTAGCTTTCCATTACTGTATACCTGAGATGAACAACCTAAAAGAGTGAAGATTTATTTTGGCTCATGGCTTCTGGGGCTTCAGGTTACTATGGGCTAGAACTGTTGCTTTTGGGCCTGGAGCAAACAGAACATGGTGGGGAGCATGTGATGGGGTAAAGTTGCTCGCCTCACAAAAAGGAAGCATTGCCATCCCAATGTCCCATTTAAGGGCTTGCTCCCCACCTAACCTCCTTCTGTTAGTTCCAGTGCATAAAGGTTTTACTACTACCCAGGAGTACCTCAGACTAGCAACCAAGTTTTTGGCACACTGCCTTTAACATTCAAACTACAACAAAATCTATTTATGTTTCACATACACTTTATACACACAGCCAGAAGGTAACTGTTCGATGCTTTTAGTGTCTGCATTTTGACTAATCTGTCACATGATGTCATATGGAATTTTACATGTGTAGCATCATGTTGGGACTCAAAATACTTTGTATTCTAGAGCATTTCACATTTCAAATTTTGGGATCTGAGATGCTCAACCTGCACTTTTTCTTTCTTTTCTGGGAAGGGATCGCTTTTACCAGATTTGTAAAAGTGTCTCTATCTCCCAAAAAAGTTGAGAATCATTATGCTTATAAATAGCAAATTTTCCCAAAGGCCAGTAACTTACTTATAAGGGGCAACTCCCTAATTCACTGAGTTATCAGAATTGCACAAATGCTGTTTTCTTCTTCTCTCTTGTATTTTAGCTATAGTGAGAACTAAGTAGAATATCCAAGCCTAGGAAGTAAAGACCAAAGAATAATCTGTTACACATTGCTGCTAATTTATAAAAAAAAACTCTAAAATGCAACCCAGATATAAACTGCACAAATTAGAAAATGCTGAAATGTAAAACTATAAAGGTCTCATTTTAGTTTTTAATTTTCTATCAACAAATAGCTCAGTTCTTTCAAAAGACACATAGGACCATGGCAGAAAATTATACAGATTGTTATCAACAGCCTATAGTACAGGGGTAAGAGTTTAAGTTTTGAAAGACTTAACTTTAGCATTTTGGGACGTGGTCAACGAGACACATTTTCGGAAAATGTGAAAATCCTCAATAAGATACTGGCCAACAGAATGCAATAAATCATCAAAAATATCATACATCATGACTACATAGGATTCATTCCAAGGATTCAGAGACGGTTCAGCATACACAAATCCTTAAATGTAATACATCACATAAACAGAAGCAAGAACAAAAATCACATGATCATTTCAATAAAGGCAGAAAATGTATTTGACAAAATCCAACATCCACTCATAATTAAAAACCTTGAAGAAACAAGGAATGGAAGGTCTTTATCTCATTCTGATAAAAGCCATCTATGACAAACCAATGGTCAACATCAAACTAAATGGACAGAAGCTGAAAGCTTTCCCACTAAAATCAGGAACAAGACAAGGATTTCCACTATCACCACTTTGGTTCAATACAGTTCTCAAAATATGAGCAAGAGCAGTAAGACAAGACAAAGGAAAAAAAGATAAAGGGTAGGGAAAGAGGAAGTTAAATTATCACTATTTGCAGACGAGTATTTGTGATGCCACCACAAGACTTCTACAACTAATACCAAATTCAGTAGTGTATTAGAATACAAAGTTGACACTCAAAAATCAGTACCATTCCTGTACAACAACAACAAACTCAAGGAGAGGGAAACTAGGGAAACAATGCTTTTCACAATAGCATCTAGAAAAATGAAACACTATACTTAGGAATTAACCTAAACAAGGAAGTGAAACGAAACGAAAACTATAGTGTAATGAAAAGTATACCACTGTGAAAAAGGAGACTGAAGAGGATATCAGAAAATGGAAAGATACTCCTGCTCCAGGATAGGCAGAACCACTATAGTCAAAATGGCCATACTTCCCAAACTGTTATATAGATTTAATGCAATCCCAGTCAAAATAACAATAACATTCCTTACAGACCTAGAGAAAACAATCCTAAAATGTACATGGAACCAGAAGAGATCTGGAATAGCACAAACAATTCTGGGCAAAAAGGGCAAGGCAGGGGACCTCATACTCCCAGACTTCAAATTATACTACAAAGCTACAGTGATAAAAACAACATGGAATTCGCAAAAACAAACACAAACAAACAAAAAAAATCCACCAGACTTGTAGATGAATGGAAAAGAGTAAGATAAAAGCAAAAACTCCAGGCACATTTAGCTATGTTATTTCTGACAAAGGAGCCAAATCCCTTCAACTGAGGAAAGAGAGACTCTTTTAAAAATGGTGTTTGGAAAACTGGTTAGCCACAGGTGAAGGCTGAACCTAGATCCCCATCTCTCACCATGCACTAATGTCTAAATGGACCAAAGGTCTAACTGTAGAGCAGAAACAACCTGCTGGAAGACAAAACAGGTAAAACTCTTGAAGACATAAGTCTAGGCAAAGACTTTCTGAACAAAACAAAAGATAACACCAAAAATCAACGTATGAGATCACATCAAAAAGCTTCTGCACAACAGAAACCACCACCAGTGTGAAGAGACAACCCACAGAATGGGAAACGTTGCCAGTTATTCCTCAAAGTTCTAGTATCTAGAATATATAAAGAACTCAGAGGGTTCCCACCAGCACTCACTGACAAGTGTGGCTCACGACCCCTACACTGTACAAAATGATACAGTTTATATTGAACACCCGCTCTCCTTCAGGGGCTGGGACTCAGACCTCCTCCAGGCTGCCTAATCACTGCCCCAACAAAACTCCTGACTGAGCCTCCGGGTTAGCGATGTTTCACACTTGAAGAAAAGTGCAAGTGCTAGAGCAATAGAGCACACATACTGGACTTCACTAGAAGATTCTTGGAAGTGGGCAGCTGGCCGCGCAGGACTTCATCTACATGCCTCTCTCCCGTGCTAATTGTGTTTAGTATCTTTTCCCTGTAGTAAATTAGTGGAGTCTTTGCAGTAAATTGCTGAACCTCAATCGTCTCCGCAAACCCAAGACATCACTCACAACTAATTTTTAAAACTAACTGTTAGTCTGGTTTAATAGGTTTATATCACTAAAAGTACCCTACTAAATAGTTTACAGTTGGCCACATATCTCTCACCCTGCACAACCGGTCACTCTGATATTTATCTAAGCAATGTAAGCAGTTAGAAGATGCAAGTGGAAGGCTGGCCTTCTTGACACATACTAGATGAAGTTTAAGTACACTCACCAGACAGTATGGCTAAATAAAGTGCACAAAATACGTAAGACAAAATAAAATCACTTACAGAATTTTCCCTACCTACCATCACTAACAAAAATAAACCCAATACTGCATAACAAATGCTTTTGCTGGAAAACAAATTTCACTACTTAGCCAAAAGTTACATCATTTATTGTTTTTCTATGTTCATGCTGAAATGATTTGAGATACTAGGCAAACATACTATTCCTCACATTACTCATTATATGACAAATGGTTGTCATATAATGGTTATCATATTCCTTTTAACAGCTTTTGGAGGGTAGAAGGAAGAGTAGATGGCACGCTATACTCCAT